AGCAAGTAAATCTCCAATGACTTGTGACCCACCAAAACAAGAAGTTTTTTAGGTATGACTTGGTGTCGTTCACCAAAGATTCAAAGTATTTATAGTGTGTAATTTTAAGTGTAGTCTTACAGCTATCTCCTGTATCCATCGCGGAGAATCGAGTCGTGGATTTTAGTGTTGACAATTCCGTAAACTGTATCACCGGGAGAGGTGTCTTACTGAGTTGTTTTTTGTTTATTTTGTTTAATACGTGTACATTATATAAGGCCGGTTTTCCAACGTTATTTTTATTATTTTTTTTTGGGGGGGCGGATATTTATAGACATTTTCAGTTTTAGGCCTAGAAGAATTGACCTAGTATAGAACAATGTAAGGCACTGACTTTTAATTCCCTGCATTTCCTCACATTAATCAAAGCCAAGATTCGAGTATGTTTACACATTAATCAAAGCCAAGATTCGAGTATGTTTACACATTAATCAAAGCCAAGATTTGAGTATGTTTACACATTAGTCAAAGCCAAGATTCGAATATGTTTACACATTAAGCAAAGACAAGATTCGAGTATGTTTACACATTAATCAAAGCCAAGATTCGAGAACCAATTTGTCTTTAAAAATCTATAATGAAGAAAGTATTTGTGAAAGAGAAAAACGTATATATATATAAGACGATCTCTGTCTTAGATAAATTATTTCATAGCAATATAACAACAAATTGCATCAGAACATAGCTTTCAAAACCTCTAGGAAAAATCAAACAATCAACACGTTAAACTGTTAATTTTAAGCCTATTTTTCAAAAGTGACAACGTGGAAGTTTATATATATATATATATATTGATTAATAAGTAGTAATTAACAACCTCTTCATCAGATGGAAATCGCATGATTTATGTATTGTTTAATAGCCTGTCTTTATACATACGTTCAGCAAAGAATCCTAGAACTTGGATTATTAAATATTATTCACAATGAGAAAATCTTACAGTTTATGAAAGCCTACGTACTTACAGATGATAATGTAACACCACAAACAAGAGACAACCAGACGTACGAAGCTAGCTAGAGTGGGTAACTTTGTGTTTTCAAACGTCTCAGTTAGAGCCTTCTAGAATTTTCTAAACACTGAAACATTCTTCTCGTCGTGATACCGAACAACTAAGGGTTACAACAGGCCACTCACCTATTTTGTAAGCCACTTATTAATCGTAAAGATAGTGACGTTGCTGTATTAATGATGCAACTGTGACGTCATAGAAAGTGACGTTGCTGTATTAATGATGTAATCGTGACGTCATAATATTCTTTCTGGCTTAAGTAGTTTCTTGCTTTATCACCGTCATATCTTTTTTTTTGTCGTTTTGAAATAAGCATATGTTAAAGCAATCTCTTCATAAATAAAACAAAATAAATAATGCATGCTCAGAACTGATTGTCCAGGTTTGCGAATAGCATACTACTACTGCGTTAGTTTCAAAACACAGACTATTGTACGACATCAATATTATACAATGGAATGAGATGATCAAATTAGGATGGAATATCACATGTAATCAAGCATTTTATCTAATTAAAACCTTAACTTTTAGAGAGCTATCTACGCTAACCGTCCCTAATTTGGAGGTGACAGCCTAGAAGAAAAGCAATTAGTCAATTTCACCTACCGCGAACTCTTGGGCCACTCTTTTACCAATGGAATGTGCGATTGACCGCCACATTATAGCACCCCTACGACTAAAAAGGTGAGCATGTTGGATGACAGGATTCGAACCCGCGACCCACAGCTTGCGAGTCGATCGCTCCAACCATGCCCAGGCCCTGAACAGAAAGTAACTACACATTTTTACACCCACTCCTGTGGCACAGAGGCAAGTCTGAAAGTTTGTAATGTTCAAAACAGGCCACCCCCACGAGTATTGAAACCATGTTTTTTTTTAACGTTATAAGCCTTCAAACCTATCGCTGTGCCGCTGGGGGAGGGACAAAACTTTTTGTTCGAATCCCATTGTTACTGAAGGCGCTTTGCACTGTCAGCTGTGGGCGCATCTCTGGTCAAAGTGCCGGACAATGCCCTTGAGGCTGCGAGTGCTATTCACTGGCTGCCTTTGGACAGTAGTTTGAAATTAGGGCTGTTAGCCCATGTACAGATTGAAAATACCAATATTAATCACTGCTTTACTCAGTTCAAATTGGGCATATCAAAATTCATTTTTTAAAATAATGCAATTATTACATAAATAAATAATATGATTTATGAAAGATATTTAGGAGGATAAAAACAAGGCACGTATTTTATGCATAAAATTGTTTGAAGTTAAGCACAAAGCTACACAATGGGCTATCTGTACTCTGCCCACCACGGGTATCGAAACCAGGTTTATAGCGTTGTAAGTCTGCAGACATACCGATGTGCCACTGGGGGGTGGGTAGTGGGGGCTACCCCTAAAAAGATGGTGCATGACCAACATAACAGTAGACATTTTTTTTCTTTACAGAAGTCTTAAAACGATTCAATATAAATTTAATTTTTCTTGCTTAGGCCGATTAAGAAATATCAGGCTGAGAAACGGATGCTATACTTCGAGATCCAGATTCGCAGTATTGTTTTATCTGCCTGTTCTGTAGCATCTGCCTTCAGTCACGCGATTTTACTATATTCGTAAAACACAAGAGACTTATTGGACGACTTCGCGATATTTATGGAACTACAAATCTTAGCAACCTGTACAGAGGAAGTCCTGATCAAACGAATGTTACCTTGATCAAATCTAATATTATGTATATAATGGTGTACTTAATTTATCGCTAGAGAACTTAGGATGCATAGCTTGGAATAATAAATTATAATGGCAAAAAATGAAGGTACTCGGATTTGCCTATTTAGAAGTCACGTGACGTACTTGCTGACCTGTCATAATATGGGGGCGATGTCTTCCGTTCAGGTTAAGCTTCATTTCCCTGATGTACGTTTTTTTATTATTTCGGAACTGTCATTTCCTCAGCGCAAGATAGCAGTCTTGTATTCTAATCACGCCACAGTGTTCTGAAAAGAATAATACAGTTAGTGACATTAAGAAAAACGTAATCAGAAGGAAGTTTGCAATGTCAGCTATTGAATTCATTATCAATCTGTACAGAGTGACTAGCGTCAGAAAGCAGTAACATATTTATCTCTCTCTTTTTTTTTCGACTCGTAAAAAAAGTTATTTCTACACCAAAATAAAAATAATTTTAAAAAAATCGTAAAGAATTTCATAGCATTGATGTTTGTTTCTTTTTTTTTGAATTTCGCGCAAAGCTACACGAGGGCTATCTGCGCTAGCCGTCCCTAATTTAGCAGTGTAAGACTAGAGGGAAGACAGCTAGTCATCACCACCCACCGCCAACTCTTGGGCTACTCTTTTTACCAACGAATAGGGGGATTGACTGTCACATTATAACGCCCCCACGACTGAAAGGGCGAGCATGTTTGGTGTGACGGGGACATAGCATTGAGAGAATCCAAATATTACGAAATCACAATTTTTGCCACTAGGGGTCACAATTTTTGTTAAAAATTCCATTTATGATGGGAAAATATAAACTAAACACTATGAGTAGTACGCCACCTATATCCTAACGCCAAGATTAAAGAGCCCTACTTAGTCCTTCAAGTTAGTAATTAATTAAATATATACTTTAACGTGTGTTTAAGTTTCATCACCTTATCAGAAACGTTTTTTGTTTTACATTAATTTTTATTTCGGTATTTATGTTTTTAACATTTTTATGTTTCCTTAAATGCTCAATAATTATTTCTGACAATAAAAGACACCTAGTGGCTTAGCAGTAAGTCTAGAAGCTTATAACGCTCAAAACCGGGTTTCGATACCCGCGGTGGGCAGAGCACAGATAGCCCGTTGTGTATATTTGTGATTAACAACAAAGGAACTGATAATCAAAGACAAATTTAACTTTATTTGTTTATAGCTGAAAGAAATATTTAACTGTGGTTTGTTTGTAATGAAGCACAAAAGCTACACATTGGGCTATCTGTGCTCTGCCCACCACGGGTATCGAAACCCGGTTTCTATTGTTGTAAGTCCGCAGACATACCGCTGTGCAACTGGGGATGTTTAACTATGGAGTTTGAAATATTATTTATCAAATGCTTATGTAACACAAATACGTTTTTAGAATATGGCAAAATATTGAAAGTAATTACAAGTTTTCAAACGTTGGGGTTTTTTGTTATAAAGCTGGAACAGTACACCGAAAAGTGTGTTTTAACGAAACGTCAGTACATGGCAAATATAAACTAGGTATATTAAAGACATGAATTCGATGAAATATGTCACAAAAATATGTAGCACAAAATGGTTTGCATGTATATTTTACATTAGATTAATTAACACCAGCTGTAAATTGGCGATAAGGGCGCGGTTTGCTCTGTAGTAGAAATCTGGGTTCGAATCCGTGCGATAATGCAAATATACTCCACATTTTAAGCTGCCGATGTGTTTTAAGAATGACAGTCAGTTTCTTTGCGTGGATGGTGAGTGGGAAGGTGTTACTGCCTTCATTCTAGTTAGTAGTACTTCAAGATTAAGGATGGCAACAGATAGCCTTAGTAGCTTTTCCCTTCAGGCACGGCCGGGATGGCCAGGTGGCTAGGGCGCTCGACTCTCAATCTGAGGGTCGCGGGTTCGAATCCCCTTCCTACCAAACATGCTCGTCCTTTCAGTCGTGGTGGCGTTATAATATGACGGTCAATCCTACTATTCGTTGGTAAAAGAGTAGCCCAAGAGTTGGCGGTGGGTGGTGATGACTAGCTGCTTTCCCTCTAGACTTTTCACTGCTAAATTAGGTAGCTTTGCGCGAAATTCAAAACAAACCGAACCCTTCATGCAAAATATGAGTACGAATGGTTGATAAAATTAGCTACAAAAATCAATGGTGAATACATAACTGTATTAAACATCGCATAAGAAATGAGGAAGTAATAATCAGAATTACACCAACTGGAAAAAAAAAAATCCCCTTTACCGAACATGCTCGCTTTTTCTGTCGTGGGGGCGTTATATTGTGACGAACACTCTAGATATCCTGTTTCGTCAGTATCAACAAAAGTCAAATATACAATTTCTAGATTTTGACATAAACTCATTAAAGCATATTGTAGCAACAATTAATATCGTCTTAATCATTGCGTGTTTCTACACATTAAGTAAACAGGAGTATAAAACATGTAAGTGAAACACTGATAGAAAAGCCGTTTAACATATGAATTGGAAAGATCCTCGGGGCTGTTTGTTGAATCTGTTGTAACACAGATTTCGAAAACATATTAAAACAAGTTTAAGTAAACATTTCATCAGTGAGCAATACAAAAGAATTGGTAAGAAGATTCAGTTGGGAAAAATAACTTCGTTTAATTGGAGAGTTCAACAGAAAAGAAGAAACAGGTAAACATTATGAGTTAATTAAGGCTTACGATACATAATATTTTTCATTAAAAGTAATAAATTCTAAATAAAAAAAACGTTAAAATTAATTTTATTTTATTTGTAATTTATTGAAAATGCTAAGGTTATGAGTTAATTGGAAACGTTTCGGATCGTTGTAAGACTTGTTTTCAGGTATAATCTAATGTTGTTAGGCTTAGTGTCTTTTATTACGACCAAAATTGATTTTGCAATAGATAAGAAGTAAGTTCGTAATATCAAGAACATGTTTTTTTTTTGTTAATAAATAGGGATTTAAGGTATATTTAAGATATATTTAATTCAGTTTTTCCATGCATTACCAAAAATTCACACATTGTATTTACATTGCAAATGTTTATAAGAATTGAGAAGAGTATTACAGATTGGATTGCTAGTTCTGTTACCTGCAACTAAGTTAACTCAATATGTGCTTGCTTCAACTTTTGTCAATGAACTTTTAACAATTTTCCTCGAAACATTTCGAAACCTACTTCAATGACGACTTGGCTTTTAGGAAATGTTTGGAAATATTATTTTAATCTTGTCATACAACTTTGTAAGAACACAAACTGTAGTTATTATTTTTCGTTTAAGGACATCAAGGACATTTTCTGTAAGTACCAGGCTACTACTGTTTGTCGTCAACCCAAAATGTTGAAGTGTCTTTTATGTCGCAAAAATAATAATGATAATATTATGATAAACATTATATAATTTAATGATAAAGGATGTAGTTATAAATCCATTAGGGATATTATTTTATAAATTGGTGAAACTTTAATCGTAGATTTATAAACTGTATTTACATTTTAATATTTCATTCTTAGTGAAAAAAATATCTTGGTCAAACATAGAACATTAGAAACTAACGTACATGAAACGTGAAAAACCCATAAAAGAAAGTGGAATTTCTTGTTACATATTTCCCCGCAGAGGCTCAGCGGCAAGTCTGAGGGCTCATAATACTGAAAATTAGGTTTAGATACACGCAGTGGGCAGAGCAGAAATAGCCCATTGTAGAACTTTGTGCTCAACAACAATACAAACGAAAACGTGTTCCAAATACTTAAAGAAAGTTTTTCAGACAACTTAATTTTTCTTCTTCCTCATTTCAGAAAAGTCTGGAACTCAGAATATGTAAATAAGAAAGTGTTAAATGTATAGCAAAGGAGCATGCCAGAATTTCGAATTTAAATTTAGAAATAAACTTTATTGGGTTGTATTTTGATTGACATAATTATTATTATTATTTCTTTTTATGACATTATTATTATTATTTATTTTTATGACATTATTATTCTTTATTTTTATGACATTATTATTATTATTATTTACTTTTTATGACATTATTATTATTATTTTTATTTTTATGACATTATTATTATTTATTTTTATGACATTATTATTATTTATACTTTTATTTTGATCTGTTATTCATATCAGTTAGACTTCGTTTGAGGTTTTTCACAGTTATAATTAATAATGATTAATTCCTCCCCCTCATTTCTAGTCGAAACCCAGCTATTCCTTTGTTTATTTTGGGCCTGGTCTGTTGGTTATGGCGCTAGGGTCGCTGTTTCGAATCCCCTTTACCGAACATGCTCGCTCTTTCTGTCGTGGGGGCGTTATATTGTGACGGTCAATCCCACTATTCGTTAGTAAAAGAGCAGTCCGAGAGTTGGCGGTGGACTGGTATTGACTAGGGACGGCTAGCATAGCTAGCCCTCGTTGATTTTGTTGCTAGCTTGTTGTCTATAGTCCATGTTTTTCTCGGCGAAGTAACAGAAATTAAATTTACTCAAAAATACTATAACAATAATACATTAGACGTAAGCTTAAATGTTTATACCCGTGAATAATAAGATTGTTTGTAATTAAGCACAAAGCTACACAATGGGCTATCTGTGCTCTGCCCACCACGGGTATCGAAACCCGGTTTCTAGCGTTGTAAGTCCGTAGATATACCTCTGTAGATTTAACGATGATCTAAGCAGGTTAGTTTTGTTTTAGTGATATGCTAGCGCGCACAAAGTCAATTCCTTTAAACCAAAAGGAGCAGTGTTTAATAGATGCAACGGTAAACATATTTCTTGCATATACTTGACTAGGAAAGATAATTACTGTCATTTAAATATATCTCAATATCATTATATGTCAATGAACCAATTTCACGCCCCGCTACTATATAACTATTTGTTTTGTATATTCTTTTCAAAGATTCTGTCCCTAGTGGCTCAGCGATAAGTCTAAAGGTTTCAATATCCGTGGTGGGCAGAAAATTGATAGCCCATTGTGTATCTTTGTAATTAATAACAAATAAACAAAATCCAAACATGTATTTATAAAGTTATGCCCAAACCATCAACCACAGTGGATGTTGTAATATGGAAAGTAGGTTTAGGTTTGTTTGTTTGAATTTAAGCACAAAGCTACACTATGGGCTATCTGTGCTCTGCCCACCACGGGTATCGAAACCCGGTTTCTAGCGTTGTAAGTCCGCAGACATACCGCTGTGCAACTGGGGGGGGGGCGCATGGAAAGTAAGATTGATTTTTGAATGTATGTATGTGATCATAAA